CCTTTCTCCCCCAACCCCCTCCCACCCCTTACAAAACTGTTCTCCTTTTTCATGAAAAGAAAACAGCATTCACTCTTCAATCTCTCTCTTCACTTTTCCAAGAAAAGAACTCTTCAACATCAAGTCTTTGCCTTTGTGTTTTTCCTCTTTGACAGTTTTCTTACATCTCTCTTTCTTTATTTCATGTCTCTTTTTTTCCCTCTTTAGAAGTTTGAAACCAAAGGCCAAACAAAACTTTAAGGGGGGCTCTAATTTGCATGGCAATCATTTACTACTACTTATATATCATATTATTCCTTAGTATCTTCAAATTACACTAAAGTTTAAAGTTGTACCTTCTAAATTCTAATACCTCCTACCTTTTTTTCTCTTTTCTTGGATCTTCTTCTTCTTCAACTTCTTCATTTCTTCTCTCTTTTTGACTGATAAAGTTCTTAATTTTCCATTCCCAAGAAAATATTCAAGAGACATATAGTAGTTCAAAGTACAAAAGGGAACAAATTTGCCAACTTGATGAAGGTATATTTACACCTTTAGATCTATAAAAATATTCTCCCCCATCCCAACAAAGTCCTTTTTTTTGGGCTTTGATTCAAAAACTAGGTGCCAATATCATTCATTAAATTATTATTTTTTTGTTACATTTGTACTGCTATAACTTATTGTTAGTGGGGATATTTTTTTTTGGCCAAAAAAAAATGCTTAGGCAAAATTTGTATGGAGATGGAAGAAGCGGAGGAAAATGCAACAATAAGGTGAGAAAAAGGGGAGGATCAACATCAAGTTCATCTTCATTAATACAAAGCTATAGATTAAAAAGGGCAATATTAGTTGGGAAAAAAGGAGGGTCAAGTACACCAGTACCAATGTGGAAAATGAATAATTCAAGATCACCATCATTACAAAATGATAGTAATTGTAAGTCATTCAAGATTCTACAGCAGCAGCAAACAACAGCAGCAAAAGTTATTGGTTCTGAAAAAGGGAAAGAAATACTGTCAGTTTCAGCAAGAAAACTTGGTGCTACTTTATGGGAAATTAATGGTGTTCTTACACCTAATAAAAAGGAAGAGGAGAATTTTGATGGAGTTGAAAGGGTTGTTAAGTCATCTTCCAAATTTGATTCTGTTTGTTAAGTCATCTTCCAAATTTGATTCTGTTGCTTTGCAATTATCTCATAGTCCTGTTTCTGAGGTGGGGTTCTAATTTTCTTGAAAAAAATGGCTTCTTTCTTTTAGTCATTTCTAGGGGAATTTTTTTTTATGTGTATGAGTTTTGCAGATTTTTTAATGTTTATAAAATTGATGGTGAATTTTGGCAGAGAATGGAGAGATCTAAAGTGGGAAGTCATAGAAGAAGAACTTCAATTGGTTCTCAGAAACTTGTGCAGACTGATTTCTCTCTCCAAAATGGTTGCTCAATTGAGGTACCATTTTACTGTATTATTGTTATTAATAAAATAATCTATTTTAGTTGGATACACTGTTTTGACTTGGTTTTATATGGCAGTAACTTAAAAGTATTTTGGATAATTCTACTCTTGTGTTCTTTTCTTTTTCTTGGAGGGGGAGTTACTGTTATTTGCTGCTGCAATTAACTGAGATTAAGTTCTAGTCATGTTACTATATTTATTTAAGGTCTATAAGTTTTGTCAGTATTTTTGAGTCGAGAGTCTATCGGAAACTTTCTTTCTATCTTTATAAATTAAGGGTAAGGTCTGCGTACACAATATTCTCCTCAAACCTTGTGTGATTTCACTGGATTTATTGTTGTTGTAGTTATAGTTTTGTCAATCGGTTTTTAGTTTTTTTTTTTTTTTTTTTTTTTTTTTTTTTTTTTTTTTTTTTACTTTTCGTAATATGGATAGAGATGAACTTAAATGAAGCACTCTGAGGATCCACATAGTCAAATCCTAACTTGTTTAGAGTTGAGGCGCAATAATTATTGTTGCTATCATAGATTTTTCCTTTTCCAAACAGAACAGTGTCTAATCCCTACCCTACCCTTTGAAAGAGCTAAGGTAAGAAAGAGCCATTCAAAATTTTATCATAATGAATGACATAAATGGCATTTGGATATGTCCCTTGGCCTCTTCAAAATTTTATTTTAGGAAATGGACAAATGTTTCATTATCCTTGAAAGGGACCAATAATGTAAGTTGGTCCTGTTTCAGGTACCATCAGATTCAACATGTCATATGTTTGTTTTCCAACATTGAATTGATATAGTAGGTTGTAAACTTTAGTTTGTCATAGGCTATTTGTTTTCTACATCTGCAAAATGGTACTAATATATAGTCACAAAGATATCCTTGTTTTAGGCTAACCTTAAGTTTTTGCCCTCCATTTTCTGGTGCTTTTCATTAGCTACTCTGCTTCAAATATTTACTTTATCTGGCCGGTATACATACATTATACATCTGCAGGCTATGCAGGTTGATCAGACACAACAAAATCATGCACAGACTGTAAACAGACATCGGTTAAAGGATGTAAGGAATGGCCTCTCCGCGTCTAAGGAGTTGCTGAAAGTTTTGAATCGCGTATGGGGCCTTAACGAGCATCAATCAATGTGCTTATCTCTTTTCTCGGCTATAAAAGCTGAGCTTGATCGGGCATGTATTCAGGTGACTAAACTAATTCACGAACAAAGATATAACAACAGTGAAGTTGATGTCCTCTTGAAGCAATTTGAAGAAGAAAAGGCGGCTTGGAAGTTAAAAGAGCATGACAAGATTCACACTGCCATTACATCTATAGCAAAGGAGCTCAAGATAGAGAAGAAGCTGAGGAAGCAAACCGAGAGACTAAACAAGAAGCTCGGTAAGGAATTGGCTGATACGAAAAATTCTCTGTCAAAGGCTGTCAAAGAGCTTGAAGGCGAAAAGAGGGCACGAGAGATATTGGAGCAAGTATGCGATGAGTTAGCTAGAGGTATTGGAGAAGATAGAGCTGAGGTGGAAGAATTGAAGAGACAATCAGCTAAAGTTCGCGAGGAAGTTGAGAAGGAAAGGGAAATGCTTCAACTAGCTGATGTTTTACGCGAGGAAAGAGTTCAAATGAAGCTATCAGAAGCCAAGTATCAATTCGAGGAGAAAAATGCAGTTGTCGATAAGCTAAGGAATGAGCTCGAGGCTTATCTGAGATCCAAAAAGGGACAAGAACAAGGCGGTGATGACTCTCCTAATTATGAAAGAATCAAGGAACTCGAAAAGCATTTGAGGGAAACACTTCCAACCACATGTTATTACCAAGATAAAGAGAAGGAAAATGCGAAAGTACTAAGTAAAGAAGACGATGAAGAAGAAGAGGATGATGACGACGATGATGATGATTCAGCTGATAGTGATCTACATTCAATTGAATTAAACATGGATGATAACACAAAAAGCTATCAATGGGGAAGTACTCTTCAGAATGATCCTAAGAGATTTTCGGTTTCTGACAAAAGCAAAGGGAGGAGGTCCATTTCTGAGAAATTTCCAGCACAAAGTATTTCCATAGAGAGGGAAACTTCAGATGGAATAGAATGGGAATTCACCGCGGGAGGGAAAGAGAACGTGGACACGTTCGAGCAGGAGAGGTCCAACGTTCTTGAAAATGGAGGGATTTTCGAGTTCTCTTCTCAAGTTTGGAAAAAAGAATGTGAAGATGAGATAGAGAGGTACAAAATGATCAAGGATCTTCGTGACCATATCGTGTCTTCTACTTCGAGGAAAACACCAACTCAAGGCTTTTCGAGTCCAACTAAGAATTGGAGCCAACAGAATTTGCCTTCCAATGATGCTGAAAGAGTGATCAATGAGGCTTTTGCTGTATTGCAGGGAGCTAATTGAAGAAACGCTAGAGTTTATTGGCCTTTAAGTCACTCTCCTTCTGCAGTTTGATAGTACATTGTTTACATAATTACATGAAAATATTTTCTGCTGTTTTTGTCTGAAACCTATAGCTAAACATCCAATCTCATTACAATTTTGTGGTTTGCCCCTTTGTATGACATAAAACTGTACAAATTTTTGCTACTCTTCTTTTGGTTATAGAGATGCCATAAGTATATTACTATCTTGTGAACAATTTTCATCTTTAATACTATGATTTTTTCATCTTTAGTCTCTTTTATCAACATGCTCATTTATCCTCTTGGTTTTGAGTTAGATATCTATATCTATTTTTTTGTGTTTGCCTCAATGTTTTGGTTTAGCGATAAGAGCTAGCGTAGTACCTATGTGCTCGAACTCTCCAAATATGTTGTCACAATTGTAGCCGATGCTCCAAAATGACACATTTTTGAAGGATCCGACATGCTGCCGGCAGCATTTAAAAAAATCCGAGCAACATAGCCAAACATAGCCAATGCGTGATGTGTAGGGTGAGCGTCATGTCTTCGAATCCTCCTATGAACAAAAGACTAGTGTAGAAACTGGCTATAAGTTCAGCCGAACCCAGTAACTTTTGCTCAAATAGTGCATTTGTGTTAAAAATTTATTAAATTTGTACACTTACTAAACTTAGAACCAGGTATAACTATTTAAAAAGTCATCGTATTAAGATCCAAAACTCATAAATTTAAAATTCTGGCTCCGACTTTATGCTATGCCAACCCTATTTGAACCGTCCAAGGTTAGCCCTCGAGAATTTCTAGCTCGTTACTAAAATAATTTTGAAATCTCACCAAATGAAGAGACAAAATCTTCTTTACTGAAATCATAACTAAAAACCCCATTCTTAGATTGTAGCAATCTCACCATGTGCTCAAGCTATTATTAAAATCATTAATCTAAAAAGCACCTCCGAAAAGACCATATTACTAACTAATTTCATATTTAAAATGTTAACTAATCTTGGTTGAGGTTTAAATATAGTGTAACTGAATATTAATTATTACTGTCCCAATAATTTCTACTTTATTTTGTTGACTATGAGGAATATGTAGAATTCAAGATGGATTTATGAGGAATAAAGGCATGTGATGTATTGTGTTATAGAGCTGGCAAAACCACTATCCTATTGATGAAAAATAGAAATAAATAAAAAGAGAAGATGGCAATGATTTTTTTTGGTACACTAAAATGAAACAAAAAAGAAAGAAAATATTTTTATTTTTATTCTTTTCATCACCGTTTTCTCTAGTTGGCATTGACCAACCAAACAACTGATCAAAATTGTCTTTTATTTTTTCAAAATTGTCTTTTAACTAGATTATCTGCCTTTAAAATATCATCTTCAGATATAATATGGAACCCTTCAAACACTAAAATAGTCAAATACTGCCATATATTATATCCAGAATTGGTTAAACCACCGTCCATAGTTACAAAATAAGACTCAACTCTAAGGAAAAATAATATGATAAAAATATTAAACTCAATGGTATTAGTATTAACATAATATTGTACAAAAAAAACAAGTAGATTTAAAACAAAAAATGCAGATCATTATTCAAGGAATACACCAATTAAAATGACTTGTTTCTCGATCGGGTGGCAGCTAGGGTTGATGTATTAATATTTCGATGGCAATTATAATGACTTTGTCTTGTATTATTTAGACCAAATGACTTTGATCATTGTCAAGGTCCAGTTGTAATGCATTGCTCATTGATTTCAAGATTCAACTAATAATAATTCACAAATTAAATGATAAGATTTAAAAATGCCTTTATTTAATTCCATGGAACGGTTGCTTGCACACTATATTATATTATATTAATTTCACTTCTTTCTCGTTAAGTTGTTTTAATTCATAGAATGATTGTCATGTGCGTACATCATTTCTAATAATTCATTGCTTTTATTCTAAATTTATTTATTAGATTTCTGTAGCCAAAGTAAGCAAAACATTTATTTTATTGCATGGTATGGACCAAAATGTCGAACTTCCGTGGCCAGAAAAGGACAAAAACAGAAACATATTTCGATGTATATGTCTCATGTTTGTCTTAGCTTTACTTCAACTGAACGCAATTTGCCAAATCAATTGTATCCCAATTAAGTATATTAAAATCTTTAAATGTACTTGATGTTTTCGAATTTAACTTTACTAATCGTAAATAAAGTTTAGAATATGTATTACGTACGTAACTATTGTCAAGTGATACATTTGTACGGAAGATACATATTTCGTAATAATATATTTTTTTGGTTTTTTTACCCTGTGTGTGTGTTCGGTGGCCTCTTTGGGGCACTGACAAATCACGATTCTCACCGCATAAAGCTCATTAAAGGAGAGATCGTTCACACTAGGATTTTTTTCACTCTCAAAGGTTGTACCATGTCTAGTATTAATATGCCTCTTAAATTATTTTGCTTCTATTAAGCCCTCAATAAAAATGCATAGTAGCACTAGGTGGACCGTCTATCCGCCCTTGGTCTGCTAGATTCAGTTATGTGTTCTCGAAATCTATGTTCACCAGATAAATTTGTAAAGAGAGAGATATTTGATTTTTTTCTCTTGTAACTAAGTAATACAATAAAACCTCATCTTATTCAATCTTACTAGCATCTCATAGTGCTAATGCTCAAATCTCTATAAAGTTCAAGCAATTTTTCTAGGCCATGATACTGTAATTTACTTCACGTTTTTTGCGTGCGACTCTTTCTCGGACCCTGCGTCAATATGAAATTCTTTGTATATCGGACTACCGACACTATTATGGTTTTGGTAGCTAAAACTTTTGTTAGTGAAAGTGATAGAACACCACTGAAGTTTGGTTGATTCATTTTCTTTTACCAATGTTCTGCCAGCCATTTGGACCGTTAGACCAATTCTAATACTATAAATATTTTTAGAAGATTTTCTCAGTTTCAATTCACTGTAGTAAGAAATTGACAGTACATGCAATTAGACAATCAGAAGGACTTCTTTTAATTGGGCCCCTTAGATTTTAATTTTTAAGGACTTGCTAGAGAAATGAGTAGCAAAATAGGCAGAATAGGTGTAATTGACACTTTATTTTTCTTGGTAGTTGACACTTGACTTGACAGTGTGTAAAGTTAAAAAGAGAAATTTGAAGGTTAACTGGTAGGGGCCTGCCTGAATAATTCATGTGATATTCTTGCCTTTTGCACTGTCAATTCCCTGTTTAAAATGCAATCTAGAATCTTCACTAGTCGGCGAGTTGTGGAAATTATCCTAGTAATATAAAAATCTTTACAATGCATATAACTTTAGTTCATAACTTCATATAAATAAGAAAGCTCGAAATTACACATTTTATACAGAGGATAGAATGAGATGTATAAAGCTTTGTGTTGGGTTCAACTAACCAAAAAATACTCTTTAACATGTGTAATAGTGTCCGTTTAGGGCCAAGCCCGCATGATTTTGGTCTCACGTCATTAAGAGATTTTTACACTTTATATGTAGACTCCCAATTTTTTCAGCTACCAATATGAGACTTTGTTCGGACACTCAACAATCTCCCCCTCAAACTAAGTTCTACATGGCCCACTATCATGATCCACGGGTCTCCCACTAACTGAGTTCCATGTGGCCCTTGCCACAATTTATGGGTCAATTTCCAATCGTCAGAGTATTTAAGGCAATCGAAGCCCGCAACTAGCTTCTTGTGTATGAGCCCCGCATCTGATACCAGTTGTTGGGCTCAACCAGTACAAAGATACTCTTAATATGATGTGATATTATATGCTTAGGACCAAACCCGCACGGTTTTCCCTAAAAGACCTCACAACATGAGTTTATTTAGTATGTTTTAGGAAAAATGACATTGTATAGCCGCTCTCAAAATAATATATATATATATATATATATATATATATATATATATATATATATATATATATA